CCAAATATATTTAATGGTGGGTTTTTTTTTTGGTTGTCCCGTTGACGTCTCGCTTTCTATGTGCACCTAACCACACCACTCACCAGCCCTATACTGTGCTCCTCCATTAGCTCAACAATCCGGCCACCAGACCTCTGCCCTGACCACCCTTCACCTACCCTCATCCGTGCCCATTTTACCACTTCACGCACGTGCCGCATGCACGTTGCACCCATCAGACACCCTCACTCACCATCACACTCCGCCTTATTCTGCCTCACCCACCCCAGCAAGATCAGATTCATTCCCAGACCCTGTCCCTCCGTCCATTCCGTCACCTCGCTCGCTGAACGCCGTCGGCTTGCATTCTAAAGCGTCCTGAAAAGGGAGCTTTATAATTGCGAAATAGAATAGAACGGGCAGTGACAATCAACCTCATTTGTTATTTGGCTGCTATTAATGTCCACATGATGATAAGCCCACTTCGTTGAGCTGTCGTTTGTGGCCAGGTCGCTTCGCAAAAAGGAACCTAACAGCTCAGTGGACTTTACCTGGGTAAAATAAACATATTTTTTTTAAATATATTTTTGGTGATTTGTTTACCTTTCCTATGCTTTGCACTCCTAATCGTGTTTTTGTAGTGTTTGTTGTTGTAACTTTCTGGCCCGCCCCTTTATAGCTCATCGGATTCCTCCAGTGCCATTAAAGATTTCGACGATTTCACTCGAGCTTGAAAACCTGCCTTAATCGCAGACGGCTGAAACTTGGATTCGAACCCAGGAAATTCGGCAGTGTCGGCTCGTCTCCCGAGCCTGCGAGCCACCTCCTTATAAGGCAACGTTAATGATGGATGTGTTGGATTTTGGGGGATATCGATTTGTGCACTGATGTCAGCACAGTCCAATGGATTGTTTTTTTGTGTCGGAGGGGTGGGGGTTGTACATTTAATATATATCTATTATGTTCATAATGTACGATACAGGCCCGACCACAAGCGTTGCAAAGGCATTTGAAGGTACACTAAAATAATGAGAATAAGCTATTCTGTAAAAACTAAGCCACGTGTGTGTGTGTGTGCGTGCGTGCGATGCTCCAGTATTATAGATTCTGTGCGTCGCGCAATTTTTCTACATTAAAACCGAGTTTTAAAAAAAAATGTTTACTTCGAAGTCCACCGCGAATTGCGTGCACGGAATGTAAATCCGGGATTTTTGTAACGAGCGAGCCTTCTGCTATTCATTTCCACGCACAGGCAGATGCAATAGCAAGGGTGGGGTGGTGTCCAGCTGCATCCTGCCGTGACCTCGCGACAAAGGCTCAATAGCAATCTCCTCGCTGAGCCGGGGGGGGGGGGCAAGTTGGGGCAAATTGCGCCTGCTGCTTGAGTCGTGTTTTTGCGTACATTGGGGGGGGGGGGGGGGGCACGCACCAATTGACGCCCCTTGAGGATGGTTGTTGTTTTTTTGTCCCCAGGTAGATTTAACGCGCAGCGCGGAGATGTACGCGTGGTTCGAGCCGTCTGGGATTGTTCGTCCACCCAAACGAGTCCGTAATTGTCAAAGAGACGCTTTTTTTTAATTTAGTCTTTGGGTCTTTCGGTGAAGTCACGTAGATAGGTTCAAAGAAAACAACAAAAATACGACGTTTCGATCGCAACACCTCCCCCCTCCCTTCCCCCACCTCCCCCCTCCCTTACCCCACCTCCCTTCCCCCACCTGCCCCCTCCCTTCCCCCACCTCCCCCCTCCCTTCCCCCACCTCCCCCCTCCCTTCCCCCACCTGCCCCCTCCCTTCCCCCACGTCCCCCCTCCCTTCCCCCACCTGCCCCTTCCCTTCCCCCACGTGCCCCCTCCCTTGCACCACCTCTCTCCCAAGCCCCCCCCCCATCCCCTATCTTCCTCTCCCACTTTTTTACAACGTGAATCACTCATGCATAGTAACGTCAACATGCAATGAATCATTTTCAGAAGTCTTTCATGAATCAGGATTTGTGTAAACACAGGAGTGCATATTTGTCAACAGAAAATTATTGACTGTTTTGGCAGGGGTTTTTTACTTAATGTAATGTTGTGTTTACAGCTTTTTAATGTTAATGTTGCTTGCGTGTAGCAATCAGTGAAACAATGTCGTGAATGTGAAACAGGTTTATGGGCCGAAACATTAATGCCACAACCCAACACACAAATCTCTCTTGTCCGCCGTCTTGCATGTCGCTGTGAATAACAACATTTTTAAATATTAATCTACATTATTTTTTTTAATCAGTGGCATTGAGCACAGAAAATATCACCTCCCATTCCAATTGTGAAATAACTTTGTGGCGAATTGGTGTCAGACTGATATTGCCCACTGTGTGGAACAAGTATAAGCTATGAATATTTGTTTAAAGATCCCACTCCGTGGTAAACAAAGTATAAATATGGGCATTCCTCGACATTTGTGCGATGTTCAGCTGCTAATCGGGCACGTTAACCCATTTTACTTAGTCACTTTGATTTGTGTTTCCATATGTGGCATATTTATTGGCATCCACTCGTCGCTTAAAACAGCACGACGAATGACACGTCCTCATGGAACGCTCAAGTTGGGAGTAATGCCCTTTCGTTGATGATCCACGGATGGACCATCAAATGAAAGAAGTCTGCAATTCAATTGCGAAACAATGAGTATCGATACGAGGTGCACTGTGCCTCACCCACGTGTGATCGTGCAAGAAACTACGAACAGAGTTGGAGTAAAACAAATAATAATACCGCAGGTTAAATAAAATACATTATTTGATTATGCTGCTGCTGCTGCGTTGGCAGTGGTGCATAAGCACCTCCGATTAGCACGGTTGTCTATGTATGTACAAATAACAACAACAAACACTGAACATCATGAGGCCTTCTTTGCCAGTACCAAAAAATAATAATAGGTTGTTTCCCCTTTTTTCTGGCAACAAAAGTGAAACCTTTTTGTTACGAACAATCATGTTTACATTAACCACAATACCTGCGCCTTTTAGCGTCATCTGGTCGAACACCGTATGAGACTAGGCTCTAAGGAAAGCTGTCTCTGGTGTGGACCAATCAGTTTCAAGGACAATGCATATGTTATCAGAGTGTGTTTTTGTTTGCATTCTGACCGTACTGTGAACTTATGAAGGAAAGGCAGTAATAGGTGACGTTTAAAGCAATGGGCCTCCATTTCATTATTATTATTATTGTTTAATAACTAAACAATGATTAATTATATGTTAGAGTCCTATTTCTAGGCCACTGCTGGATGAAGGCCTCCCCAGACCGTTGGTCTATGGTGGTGTTCTGACCATACTTCAGTGCAGATTGGTGCAAGGTGGCACACGGAGGTTTGGGCCCAACGCTTTTTCGGATATCACTCCCCAGCGATTTTAGCCGTGACCAGAAATCGAATTCAGCTTTACCGGATATATATATGTACCGCAGTAAACTAACCGCGGTCATCTACGAGTGGTGTTATATAGGGCGTGACTGCTCGTTGTCTTGTCAAGAGGTCTTGCGCCAGCCACCGGGGTACAGAAACATAATCTCGATTTAGGCTGGAGGAATCCGATGAACTATGAAGCTCTTTTTCACAGACGTCCAGTCACTGTATACACCTCCGATTAGCACGGCGGGCTACGCATCGTGCGAAGGAGTGCAACGTGCAGATATTCACCCGAAGATTATTTTGCCGCCTCGTGCAATCCGCATTTGCTACCAGCAGCTTGCAGGTTTACGAAGCAGCGGGCAAAGCGCGGAATACTTTGACAGACATTGCGATAGAACGCTAGCCGAGCGAAACGGTGGTTTGAGGTCTGAGTGTTGAAGTATAGCACCGTATTCAAGTCCATTCACGGAAACGAATACAACCAAATGAAGTGGGGAAAGCCAATTTCAGATATTTGTGTGTGTGTGTGTGTGCGTGCAGCCATCAGGCTGAGGTGAAACCATCAACCTCTCTGCAGGTGGATAACCCCGTCAGGCTCAAGCCGAAGTGTTCATTTCTCACTTGTCCAGTCCAGGGCGCGAACCTGAAAACATTTCAGATGTGTTCCAGACTCGCATTCTCACGTGATGTGCTGTGTACACCACTGAAATGAATGCGCCATTGGTGCAAATAAATATGCAGTCCGGCAATGGTGCAGAATGTTTCGTAAATATCTAAGAGCTGTCTGTTGTCTTTTTAGTTTGCTGGAAGAAGCAGAGACGGCCGTGTGATGAATATTCCTAATGATCTGTTTGTTAATTTGTATCCTTTGTAAAATTGTACGTGAGCAGTGGAGTGGTGGCATAGTGGTTAGCGCATTGCGCTGTGAACTGGGCGATGCCGAGTCTGATTGCTGGCCGCTGGTAACACCGGTGCTGAGTAATATCTTGACTGCCTTCTTGGTAATGCCTAAAGGTTCAAACTTTGTACCAAGACTTGACCCAGATGGCTGTTAGCCAAGGGATCTTGTGCTTCGCAAAATAACCGATGCTGATGATCCCTGGCTTCCATCTTTTGTGAAGTTTCTGGGTCACAACCCCTAATCTGCATCCACTGTGCAAAGTATGGCAGCAGCAGCAGATTTTGTGATTTGAGATATAAAACTTCAGTTGTCATTTATTCATAATTGTTTTTGTTTGCATCCGATCTTGTATGTAAAATGGCGGCATGTGTGTTGTACACCCTCCTCCACCCTTACACAGCCGAACAAAATAAAGTTGTCCTGTGAACATGTGCACTAATTTATCGTTCGCTCAGCACACTGGCGTATTGAATCGCAAGCCACAGCATTTAACTACTAGGTGCGACATTGCGTTGCTAATTATAACCAGCATCATCAGGCAATTGCAATAATCCGCCTGATGGGTGGAGCAGGGTTTATGACACACATCGGCATTATACTCGTGCGTAATCCAGACCCAAGAATCAATTGTGAATCATAATATTGCGTGTTAAATTGTCGTTTATGTTGACGTCTGTGATAAAAAAAGTGTTTGTTGTGTGCTTTGCCGCTCCTGTTTTTGTGTATTTCAGAACTACCCTTTGGCTGGGAGAAGGTCGATGACCCAGAATATGGCGTGTATTATGTAGAGTAAGTTACATTTCGTGCACTTCTTATCTCTCTCAAATTATTGCTGTCGTGATCTTATCCTCGCGCAGCTTTTGCACATTGACGACAAATTGCATCTGCGCAAATGGAAAAGGCCACGGCCATTTTTAAAAGCAAAAAAAAAATGTTGCTTTAACAACAACAACAAAACCCTTTGTATCTCGAGGACAGACGACATTGAACGGAGAGCACCCTGGCACCTGGGCCCCTCTGTCCTCAACGTTTCGCTGGGGAAACCACCACTAAGGCTGCGTATGGGGGGAAACATTTGGCCCGTTTTTTTTTCTCTCCCCCGAATGAGAGCGATATTTGACTGCACGCTCCGCGTCGCAACTCTCGTCTTCCCGAAAGCTCGTTACGTTTGATGTTTTACAGGCCATGCAATGCATTCGTGGGGTTTTGTTGTTGTTGTTGTTATTGTTGCGGTCGTCGTCGTCAGAGGCCCACAGCTCGGTTGCCATTCCACGCATTAGCATTATTACCCCCCCCCCCCCGCTTGGGGGTCAAGAACGTGACCCCTGCACCGAGTGCCCGGCTTGCTCCACCCGTGACCCATCATCCCTCGCTTTCATCACTGCACCCGAGCGCGATGCAGCGGGAGGCTCTTTAGACGCCAATTTGTACTCGAGCAAGCGAGCGGGTGAGCGAGCGACCGCGTATCCGCTTTGCGTATCGACCCGGTTTGTCTTGCTGTGGTTAGAGCTCACGACTCGCAGCTAGTTTGCAGTTTCAAACGCTGGTCGGGCGTGGGGGGAGGTGGCGTTGGGGGGGTTGGTGGAGGGGGTGGGGGGGGTTGAGAGAATGGGGGGGGGGGGTCGGCCCAGGTCATCAACTTTGCGGATCATAAAATGTATGCCACTTTGTAAAAATGAACAGTGGTTGTCCTGTGAATAAACTGGCTCCTGCCGTGGGAACATGGAATTTCCACCATTGGCTCAAGGCCATGACGATGATTTCAACGGGGTGATGCTGACTAAAAATTGGTGACTCATGGCACGTACATTATGTTTATTTATTGTTGATCACACTTTGGCAGCTTAGCTGCTACGAAATTACCAAATCACAGATTCAGAACTGATGTGATCTTGTTAAAGACTCCACAATACAGATGATCAACATTGTAGTAGGTAAACAATGTGTTTCCTCTGAAGAGACTGGCCCTTACCATAGGAATGTGGAGCTGTCATCACTGGCTAACGGCCACCAATAAATCTGAGTGCTCACGCCGTATTTGTTAGAGCAGAGTGATGCTGTTTTTTTTGGCTCTGAGTAAAATATTGACAAAGAGAGGAATGCTGCCATGGTGTGAGGGTTAGCACACTGGGCTTGCAATCCGGAGGTCGCCAATTCAATATCCGGGGCGGCAGTTTCAAACAATTGGCGGGTGTGTGCGTTGAACTTCTTTCGCACCGTACGTAGCCAACTGTGCTAATCGGAGGTGCGGGGGAAGGACAATAAACTAAACACACAAAGCAGTTATGAAGAAATGAGTTTTCAGTCCAGATTTAAAAGTGCGCAGCTTCAGTGTCTTCCTCATATCGGACGGTAAAGAGGATTCAAGACGGCCTTGCGGGAGCGCATCTTGAAGCGCATCTTGAAGCGCACGATGCAGTGACCGTCTTTGTTCAGTGGCGAGCCGAAAGCCACTGCGTGGTTGACCAGAGTTGGCGTCGTGGCTCATGCTCCTTGACGAAATCGGCAATGCATTGTGGTCCATTCGTGGCAAGCACTTTGTGCGTAATGAGTGCGTTTAGATGGGTCTGCCACAGTGAGGCGACCAGCAGGTCGGTGTGTGGTGGGGCAAAGTGTGAGAACTCCCACTTCTAGGCCCCACATACCCTCGAGAGGAGTTCTGTGGAGCACGTAATTGCAAGGCTGCACCTTTATATCTGTAATTGACAGAAGGCCTGCGTACACGCGCTGTCAGTGTACATTCTCCTTGCCTCGAGTGGCGCCATAACAGGAACGCAAACCCTTAACGTTCATGCGCTCGCATTATAATCAGCCGTTTCCAATGGAGAAAAAGGCCTTTTTAAAGATCAGATAGTCAGTTATGCAATGTCGATTAGAAATTGCCAACTGATGAAATGTCAACCCCTGCAACTATATATTTTTTTTGTAAAAGCTATTTCATTTGGACAAGATTATATTTGAATGACATTTTCAGGATGTAATTTGCGCCGAAAGTATTTTTGTTATTTTTGTTAGCGATTTATATTTATTTATTTCTGTTGAAAATAAACAATTACTTCAGATTTGTGTTTTCCCCTTAACAGTGGAAAATAAACATTCCTCCTTTAAGAGCGGTCAAATTTATTCAGAAAATATCTCCGGGCACTCCAAATTCGAATGAATACCGAACACCTTAAATGCTGTGTCCATCCGAATATGAATTGGATGAATAGTGCACCTTGATAAGACAAGTAACGTCAAAAAAATTACATTAGAAAAGTGCGGTGTGATTACGTATATATATTTAATGTGGAAATTACTCAACTTGTCATGAAAACATTTACACTGCAATGCCAGTTCAGTGGTGGAAGTTCTACTTTCCTCTATGGCAGGGGTGATGAGGTCATCCAAAGTTGTTGATGCTTGGGTGTAAATTTCCGTAACTGAAAAGCCAACAATTTTAACTCGTGTGCTTTCCCCTCTACCCCGCTCCCCTCCCCACCGCTCTGCAGTCACATCAACAGAAAAACTCAGTTTGAAAATCCTGTGGCTGAAGAAAAGAATACCAAATTGCAGCAGTTGCAAGGTAATGTAAACATCACACCCTCGTTTACAATTTCGGGTTGCAGGCTTTGCCATTGCGCATGTCCAATAACACGTAACAAAAAAGGCTCAGTTGCTAAACTTATGTAACGTTAAGGGATAATCAAAGTCAAATGGGCATTTTTGTCAGCGCAAAACTCCACTGGTGACCTCGGCCAGTGGTTGAAATTCCACATTGCAGTGGCTGGGTCCAGTCTTCTCCATGGCAATGTTAATTTACACGACAAAGTGCTATTCGTTTTTATTGACCCCATAAGGACGACGACGACGACGACGATGATGATGATGAGTGCGAATGTGATCATGAACTCGAATTTAATGTTTGAGTCCAGGCGCCCTGCAAAAAGCTCAATTCAGACGGTGTTTACGCACGTTTTACAGGAGGGTGTATTTTATAATTGTTCATAACATGCAGTGCTCACGTCTGGACCCAAACGGCTGACAACCCAAAAAAAATTGAGAGCAATATATAAGTGTTCGTGGTAATTCATGCACATTAATGAGACAATCGTCGGCGTTTACACAATGTTAGGCGCGTAAAATGCCGTTTACGTTTAGCCATTCTGCACGCGCTACTGCCGCTGCCTCGAGTGTATTTATAGCGCGGTGGTAAAAAAAATGCTCGTGAACTTACAGGCAGGATTGGAATTATGCTGATGAAAGATAGAGCAGAGTAAGCAAACGTTCTGGCTGATGCTGACCTGATTGGCGCGTATGAGAGAGCTTTCGAGTAAGAGAGTTGAATTAAAAGGAAAACAATACGCGCGGTGGAATTTGTAAGGATGTAAGACAAACATAAATTGTTTTTGCATTATGTCCTTCACGTACATTAGCGTCTTTAATAATAAAAATGGACTTCAAAGGGTTTCCTTGCAATAAAATATCGTACCAAACGTTATTTACAACGTGTTTATAGTCCCATATGAAAACGTTCGTTTTTTATAAATGTGCATATTAGAACTGGGATGAAAGAAATACTCCACATTTACAAAACGAGTTTTACATATCTGGATTTATTTGTTTGTTTGATATATTTAATTCAAAAAAAATACTTAGTACAGTATTACATGAAGTAGAAAAATTCAGTTTTTTTCCACATCTTAAACATGTACTTGCCATCGCGTAAGAATAGCAGTCGACTTAGCGCTGTTTTGCTCTACAATAGTAATGTTTAGCGTTTTAGATATATATATCGCCTCTTCCAAGCAAATTGAATCTCACCATCGCTGAGAAATCACAGACCAAGCGGGAAGGCAGCCAAGTGGCGAGCCGGCGCTGCCAAAACAATTGGCAATCAAGCTCCACTGTTCCCTACATATTAGGAAGTTTTTTTTCGTACCAATTCATGAGTGCGTTCATACGTGCGGGAAGGAAACCGAAGCACCAAGAGGAAACCCAGCGAGGGGTGGCAGGGGGTGGCAGCACTTCTAGAGAAACGGAACAGGAGCAGTCCACACACTTTGCTGCCGCGCCTTCTTCCTAGCAGGCCGGGATGTTGGCTTCACCAACTCTCGCCTCCGCTGTGCTGGGTTCTAGGCCCACGCGCGTAGCCGTGACCGCCCGGTCCGTACCGCTGTGCAGCACCTTGAATCTGGTCAGCTGGATCGGCTGGAGAGACAGCAGCGGGAAATCAGAAAGGTTGCGAATTCACCTCCCGATTGCGGGGTAGACTCAGCCCAGCATCTCTCTCCGGGGTTAATAAAGTGAAGTACCACTTTGTGGGGGAAGTCAACAAGGGTGGTTGTTGTCTTCTGGACAGACTCGCCCCCACCATAGGAATGAGGACTTGCCACCACTGGCTCAGAGCGGCAGACAGGAGATGAGTGCCACCTCAACATTCATTTGAGCAGGAAATCACCCAGAGGATAAGATATATATGAATTTGTAAACATGACGTGGATCTGTAGAGATCATCGCTCCCCTTTAGTTTTCGTGGTGATGAGTTTTTTTGTATATTTGGAGTTTGCATGTTCTTCCGGTGCTCGCGTGAATGTTTTCTCTGGGTTCCTCCGGTTTTTCCCCTCCATATTTTGAATCAACGTGCATTTGGGGTATTTGGCTGCTTTAAATTTCCACGTGATAAGCCATTTCCTTGGGCTATCATTTGTGGGCAGGTCGCTTCTGAAAAATAGCTATATAGCTCAGTGGGCCATAAATGGTAAAATAAAAGATTGCTTAAATAGTTTTCCAAATGTATTCCAGCTTATAATGTGACCATATATTATCCAGTCTGTAAACTTAGGTGTTGATATTGTTGCTCTTACAATCAATACCTCCAATATTATACACAAGCGCGAGTGAAATGTCGCAGAAGATATACGCGTACGCTTGGCCTGTGAGTCGCAACGTTTTCCGTACCTTGGCTCGGCTGAAACAGAAGACAGATGTAAGGTGGATCACAAGCCTCTCACCGGCCGAGCTGCGCGAACGAATCATCGCACTCCCAACAAATCAAGATCCTCCTCTGGAAAGAACCTGTGTTGCCCATAGCTTCGTGTGGATCGCGAGGATTGGCCACAGTGGAAGGGGAGTGTAAGATGGTAGCAGCCTTCATGTGGGTCCGTATGTATGTATGTATGTCAAACTTCTTTCGCACCATACGTAGCCAACCTTGCTAATCGGAGGTGCGGGGCAATGACATCTAAATTAAACACGAAAAAGTGCATAGCTACAGTGTCGTCCTAATATTGCAAGGAAGAGCGTTCCAGGTGGGCACAGGAGTGCAGCTGAAAGTGCACAATGTGGTGGCCATCTTCGGTGGTTGGCCAAAAGCCGCTGCGCAGATGGTACGTAGCCAAACGTGCTAGTCGGAGGCGCGCTGCGTTAAGCGAGACACCAACGACTAAGGCCATCGTGAACCCGATGAGCGTCCCTCGGCCAACGGTCTCCCCTGGTCTCCAAAGCGGCAACAGCTCAAGCCACCATACCGGTCCTCTTCCCCCGGCACCAAACAGCACGCTTTCAGATCAGTCCTGGAGCAAAGGATCCTTGAAAGGCAACATTGAGGGATTTTTTTTATTTTATTTTTTTGTTGCCGGGGGCGACGGAAGTTGCGAGCATCTCGCGAACATTTCGACGGCGCGTGTACGTTGACTTGGGGGGGGAGGCGAAAAACGAAATGCCTGAGGCCTTTGGGATGAAAGGGACTCCACCTCATGCCGTGGTCCCCTGGGCAGCTGCCAAATCGCCCCTCAAGGAAACAGGCAGCAAAGAGGTGGGGGGGGGGGGGGGGGTTTCCTTGAGCCGATCCAAGAAGGCCGAGGTGACCGTTCCCAGGACACATTGCTGCAGAATCCCGGAGGCTGCCTGGAGAAGACGGGGACTCAAACTCAAACAAGTGTCATCGGTCCGAGGAAAGTGAGGCCAGGCCCAGAAGACCTGGGATTGTCGACGCCGTGGTTTGGTCAGGGCTCGGTGTATGTACGTACGTACGTACTTTGAATTTCTTTCGCACCGCGCATAGCAGACCGTGCTAATCGGAGGTGCGCGAAAACTCTTCGCAAGAACTCCCGAAGACAGGACCCGTTGGGACGGTCTAGCTCGCGGGCGGCCCGCAGATCGAGGAAGGAGAGAAACGACAGATCGGATTTGCCTAAAACGTTTTTTTTTAAGTAGATGTCATCCCGCGTCTTTATCGAACGAACGCTTAAACGTTTGTTTTAATTTAAGTACGAACAAGATCCATTAAATTTCGAAAGAACCAAAGAAGAAGATCCATTAACTTACTCGTAAATGTACGAAACGTAAAATAACTTAAGTACTTACAATGTGATGTGTTGCAGATGTGAAACTAATTTGCAATAATTGTAGTTTACAACTAATTCCATAGGAATCCTAACAAAACGTTAACATGTTCTGCTGAATCGAATTATGCTCTTGCTTACAGGCAAACTGTGCTGCTATAGTGTATTAAGAAGTGCATTTTCATTGCAGAACAATTTTTAAGGGTATCCACCGAGACTCATTTGCCTGGCCATGTGATTCCAACTGGGAAAATAAGTTTTATTTTATTTGGAGAAAATCAAATTAATTTCTTACTTACGTTACAATTAACTAGAAATTAAATTAATAATGTTTACAAATATCTTATTAAAAATGAATAATTATACCAGTGAACTACACTGTCCCCATATCCCGGGCATAAGGGGTCATTCATTTTGGCGGTTCATTGTGTGCTTAAGTAAAGGGACAGAATGCGATCCTTAAAATCAATTATTTATTATTGGGGATGAGTTTTAAATTTACTAATTCGGATCAGGGCATTAGCACACTCTGTTGTGCTATTGCCAATAATGGCACAGGACTTTTAATAGTACGTTTTTATCAAACAGAATAATATTTTGCAAAATGTCCTGTTGGAATTTACTGGTCAGATGTGATCCTGCGAAAATTGGCATCTTGCAACGATGCTCGCCACTCAATCAGCGCTTCTCATAATCCACTCGGTGTGACCCATCATAATGCACACCTTCATGTGCAATGGCTTAATTTAGTTGTGGGTTTCGAGGCCCAGCTTGTGAGGGACCCAGTTTGTTGATAATACATTAGAGTACTAGTCTGTTTGTGTGTGTGCTCAATACCAGTGACGATTATCTGAACTGGTCCTGGGCTTCTCCTAGGTCAAATCGGCCTCAAATGAGTACCTGGGGCGGTGTGTAAACATCGCCACTGGGAAGACAAAGAAGGTCGGGCGTGGTGTTGGCCACCCACTTCCGCGTGTGCTGTGTCAGCCTTCATAGGCCCTCGCTAATGGCACTTGCCCCTACAGTCTGTTCAGCCTATACGGGGGATCTTTGTCGTTTTTTTAGGGAGCGATGGCACAGCGGTTAGCGAGCTGCGCTACGAACCCGGTGACCCGAGTTCAATTTATGCTCACAGCCAACAATCGGCGATGAATATTTTAATTGTTCCTGGGCCTCCCCTAGGTCGACTCAGCATCAAATGAAAACAAATGAAGTGGCCGGGCATGGAGCTGGCCACCCA